AAAAAAAGAAAAAAAGAAAAAAGAAAAAAGAAAAAAGAATGAAAGTAAAGAAAGAGAGATAGGAAGCTTTTAGAGGAGTGGAGGGCATGAAGAGATTTGGGTTTTAGGCTAGTTCCATGCGTTCCTTTGGGACCCTGTTACTAGGAATTTTAGCAACTATCCTTTTATTTCCCATTTTTTTGAACTAGAGTGGTTTCTTTTTTCTGTTAATGTTTGCTGTTTTTTGGCTTTTGCTTTTTGCCTGCATCATCTTGTGATTCCCTCTTTATGTTCTTTCTTCTCTCTTTCAATTTTCTCCCTGTAAGCTAGTTTTTCATTAAAATTATCTAAATAACTGGAATAAATATATTTTTTATTAGAAAAGAAAAGAAAAGAAAAACAAATAATTTTTTAATCAAAACAATTCTATATTTAATCAACTTCTTTTTTGGCCTTTGACTAAAATAAGGGTGTAATGACAAAAAATATCTTCATGCTCCTTTTGTAGATGTATGCCTTGATTTTTTCCCAATAAGGCAGTAATTAGTATAGCAGGCAATTGAAGATAAAACTGCTAAGCAGCTTCTTATTTTATATGCTTGGAATTCCAGGAGTGTCCTTTTTTCTCATTCTATTGGCATGCTTTTGTGCTGTAGCAATGACAAATCAAGAACTTATGGATGCTGGGAAGAAAACAATGGATGAGACCGATCAGGCTATTGAACGCACTAAAAAGGTGAAGAACGAACTACTTGAAACGGGTGATTTAATCGTTTCTGCCCCTTTGTTCTAATGCTTAACTTCGGTCCATAGGTGGTCGAACAAACTATTGAAGTTGGAACTCAAACTGCTGTTACATTAAAAGGCCAAGTATGTTCATCGTTGAAATTACACCTTATGGTTAAAAGTATATTTTCCTATCTGACCTGATTATTAGAATTCCCCAGGTATTCCCTTAACTTTTCCCAATTAAATTTTCAGACTGATCAAATGGGCCGTATAGTAAATGAGCTCGACACGATTAATTTTTCGATTAAGAAGGCTTCCCAGCTTGTGAAAGAAATTGGCAGACAGGTAAGCCTACCTTATGGCCCTCGCACCCCGACCGCCCAGAAAAACACATTTTTTGATCTCCTAACTGGGACTAACTTCCCCTCCCCTCCTCTTTTGGAAAGGTTGCTACAGACAAATGCATCATGCTGTTTCTGTTCCTAATTGTTTGTGGAGTGATAGCCATAATCGTTGTTAAGGTAAATTCTGCCGTTTATTTTGTTCAACAAAACCTTGAAAGAAGAAAAGTTCCATAAAGCGTATTCAAATTTAGTGTCTTTTGCAATAACAAGCGATGTAAATTTTCAGATTGTGAACCCCAACAACAAAGACATCAGGGATATTCCTGGATTGGCACCGCCCGTTCCCGCCAGGAGGCTTTTGTATCTGAGGACACCTGAACATTTCGAGTAAATTCTTGCCTTAGAAACAGGTAGATCTTCGTTGTTCGGTCGTCTACTTCGAGTAAATTCTTGCTTAAAGCCATTGAGAGACACGACATTGTGAGAATTCTTCTGCTTTCCTTTGCTTTCCTTTCCTTGTATGCAATTCAATCTATTCTTGGCTGAGATGTGCATAGAGCTTGGTTGTTATATTAGTTTTTATTTGAAGAGAAACTACAATGTGTTCCTGTAAATGTTTTACTTTGAGAGGTGATTCATGTCTTTGCGGATTTTACCCACTTTACATTGTTTTGTACACTAAGTCATCGTGTCTAACAGCATATGAATTCAATTCCCACTGCCCAGTGGTTGATAGTTGTTCTATTTTATTTGTATACTCTGTTTCAATTACTCTCAGATTTTCTCATATTTTAAGACTATACACAATTATTGCCCTGCATAAGTTACTAGATTGTACCAACTATATTTCTTGTAACAAAATGTATAAATAGTCTCTTGCCTCATTCCATGCATTAAAACTAGTTACTTAGAAATTAGAAAGGTTCATTTAGCCTACAGGAACGAAAAAATGGAGAGCAGAGCATTTTTCGCCTTTAACTAGATTACTTAGATCTAGAAATGTTCATTTAGTCTGCAAGAACGAACAAATGTAGAGTTGGAGTGCATTTTTTGCCGTTAATTAGATTAATTAGATCTAGAAATGTACATTTAGTCTGCCGGAACGAAAAAATGGAGTGGAGAGATTTTTCGTCATTAACTACATTACTTAGATCGATATATGTTTGTTTAGCCTACAAACGAAAAAATGGAGTGGGTGGAAATATTTCTCCTCGTTAAATGAGACTTGAATAAAGATTATATCCATCGCTCTATTCTATATTTCTCCTCGTTAAATTATTTATTTAAAAAATATACCTACAAAAGCAAAATATTTTTCATGAGAACCAACCCCACCAAATTAAATATATTATGTCCAATAATTTGTTGCAACTAGCTTGTGAGTTGTGGAAATATGAGAATGGGTATAAGGGAATCATTAATCATTTTATTTTAATAATGTAATTAATGGATGCCAACGCGGCTTGGGAGGATACCAAATTTTAGACCTAACTATTTCCTTAATCATAATAATAAACATAGCCTAATTACTTGTTATAAATATTATATAATATTTCATACAATGTATCTCCATCCTATAATTTTTAAATTCAATAAAATAAAATAAAATAATTATAAAAAAAAATGATGACTTAGTACTAACGGAAAATATCCTTTATTACTAGGTCTGATGCTTCTTGATGGAAGATCTCCAAAATAACTGTTTGTCACGAAACCCTTTATCTAGTGCACTATCATTCAAGTTTTTCGTGTCAATCCAGATACCTCATTATAAAAATTAAATAAAGTTATAGCATCACATTTTCATCTCGTATTTATCATATACTTTACAAGTTTAGAAAGGACATCGTCGTCACTTTGAAACAAAGTATTAAATTATCTTAAATTGTAGCCTTGTAAGACGGGCAAAGGCAAAACATCCAACAAAACTCGAGCAGTGTTTCCTTGTCCGGTTCATAAATGGAAAACATCAAAAGCTTGATTTAAGTAAAACTTTATCGCCATTAGATTGACTGTTTTTGTTCACAATGAACACACCAAGGTTGTAAGCTGCCGACAAAACAGGCCTCAATCATAGAGACACAACAAAAAAAAACAGAACAAAATCCCTATTATCCTTGCCGTTCCAGCTTTGGCTAACAAAACTATGGCTGAAAAGATTCTTGCCAACTGCCTACTAAGCATGCAATGTGCCAAAGTAATAGAGGCATACCTATGTGCCAAGGGGGAACTCGGTTGGTAAGGGTTTGGAGTCTCTTGCTTTAGAGGTCTCGAACTTCAACTTCTCGATGAGCTTAATACCAAAAACTCTCAATGTTTCCTCGATCCATACCTTGAGGTGGGCGTGGGGTGCCTCTGGGTATAGAGAACCTAAGCTTTGGTTCTTGGTTGTCAAATAAATATTAAATTTTGACTCACGAGTGTCTAAATCAGCTTGACACTATTACATTTGGTTGTTAAGATAAGTTGTAGTTAATCATAACTCAACTAATTGATGTATATATATACCTTACTAAAAAGTCAAATGTTCAAATTCTCACTCTCACGTTGATGAACTAAAAAAAAAAAAAAAATTATAATTATATTAACGTTTAAATATTATTTTAATCTTGAAAGTGTTAAGTTTAATTCTTGAAATTTTATATTAGCAAGCTAATATGAATTCTATTTCAAGCCATGCAAGCTAGAGATATACATTTAACAAGTAGATATTAGGCACAAATAATAACAACAACAGTAGTAACAATATTGAAAATGGAAAAATAGTGATTTAGTAAAATTACGGGTCCAAATAGCATTTAAATGTTCGATGAATAAAATTGAAACCGACTTATTAAACCCTATATTAATCATGTTCATGAAAGGGAAGGAAAAATTTTATATCCCATCTTCGAGAAACACGGATTATATATATATTTATTTAAATGTTAAAAAATTTGTTGTAATTTTTAAGATTGCGTTGGTAGAACATTATATTATATTATATTTTTGTTTATAAATATTATTAATTTTATTCCGATGTTTTATATTTTCAAATAAAAAATATATTGAAAAATAAAAATTACCCACTAAAATGTTTATTTGAAAGAAATATTATATATATATGTTTATATATGTACCATGAAAAAAAAAAATCTCGTACAGAGAATTTAGATTCAAATCTCCTAAAACATAAAATAAATGAAGAATATTTTAGAGATGAAAATTGAAATAGGTGGCGAGAATATATATAGATGATGAGAAAAGATTCTCTACGAAAAATCTCGACTCCAACCTACTAAAAAATAAATGAAAAATATTTTAGAGATAGGAATTGAAACAGGTGACGAGAATAGAGATGGAAAAAGCTTCCCCATTCCCGTTCCCCGTGTCTAAGCTGGACGGGTAAATCGCTCCTAATCCTACCCAAGCATATAGGTAAAGGTAAAGAAATAGAGCTTTTTCTATTGTTGTGTAGTCTCCTTCCTTGTATAAGGCTACAAGGCGTGGAGAGTGGTGGGTAAGTAAATGGGCAATTTCACGCTGCTGCCCTGTCTTTTCAGCCTCCAACCGCACCTTCCCTTCCTTTTGATCAATCTCTTCTTTTCTTCATCTTTCAAACACTACATAGATACCATTCCTTTTCTTCCTCTTTTTTCTAAATTGATCTTTTACCTTTCATTTATCACATTAAATTAAACACTAACCTCGCCTAAGTCGTAAAGATAGTCTCGTACTTTTCTCTCTGTTGTATTCTTTCAAATATTACAATTTTATCTTTGACCTTTCGTAAACATTTCAAAACTGCTTTTGGAGTATACAAATCGTTAGAATATTGGACGACAAGTTAACATGTTTGGGTATAGTTCCTTTATATCCAATCCAAACAAGCGTACTAATCACTGTGATGGGATTTTTCGTCCAACATTCAAAAAGACGTTACTCCAAAATTGAAACGTTCATGAAAGATCAAAGGTAATATTGCAACTTTTGAAATAATAGAAGTATTTTTTAACTATGGGACAAAGTTTAATGATATTTATGATAATTTAGCCATACCACCAGAAAATCTACCTGGCTAAGTCCAATAGATATTTAACCACCAGAATGAAAACAAAGTTTAATATAAAATAAAATCGATTCTAAGTTGTTCTGCTGCAGTTGTCTGCCATCCTCCGAACTGATAGATTTTCTGTATTAAAGAATATATAATAATATGATACAGAAGAGAGACAAATTTGAAGATACAGCAAAGAAAGGAAGGTGGGAAGATGTTGTTTTTCATTTGATGCCTCTCTCTCTCTCTCTGAATGTAATGTAAAAACCAAGGCAAAGACATAGCCCATTTCCCTCTCTCCTCCTTCCTTCCTGGTTATTACCTACTACTGAAAACTCCATCCCATCCCACCACCATTTCATTTTTCTTATTCTCCCTTTCTCTTAACTCGTTTAACCTCAGGAGAGGGCCTAGAAGCCAAGCTTGGGACAGCATTCCCAACAACATTTCTCTGCCTTCTACATTGGGAGTTTTTTCATTTGGGTTCCCTTAACTGTCGGTTAATCTGAGGAGAGGAACTCTGGGAACTGCATACACTGTTTTCATTTTATCATCCACGCCCATTTATTCACTCATCCGGTAACTGAGTTTGCTACATTCATCAGAAGGTACTACTTATTCAGCAACGTTTTTTTGCTTCTTGGTATATTAGAGGAAAAGGAAATGGCGCCTGATCTAAACACAACACTTTCCAAGAAGACGTTTGTTTTTGGTATGAAGGTATGGGTGTTTACTGGAGTCCTGGTGGGGGTGTTTATTGTAATAGTCCTTGTGGTGCTATCAATATGTGTTACTTCAAGAAGAAAGTCTAGAAGGGTAAGTGGCATGCTTCCTCTCAGCCGTATTTCCATTGCATCAAAGGAAATCAAGGAGATTGGGGTGGATCACGTTTCAGCAATCCAGCAGGGCCCTCGCCCCCACGATGGAATCGAAACGGAATCGGAAAAGGTTCTGCTATATTCAAACAAGGCCTACGATTACAGCATATCAGGCTCAGATGATCACACAGAGATATATGCTATTGGTTCTGGAGAAGGAAGCAAGGAAGCAAGTGTTTTGCATAGACCCTCAGATTCAATACCACCGGACACTTCGCCACTGGCTGGTCTGCCGGATTTCTCGCAACTGGGATGGGGTCACTGGTTCACCTTAAGAGATCTGGAACTTGCAACAATGCATTTCTCAAACGATAATATAATTGGGGAGGGAGGATATGGAGTTGTTTATCGAGGTCAACTTATGAATGGGACACCTGTGGCTGTCAAAAAGCTTCTAAATGTGTAAGTTTTCCTTGTTAACTTGGTTGGTTGGCTGTAACTTTCTTTAAGGTAAGAAACCTAGTTTTCATGGAGAAATATGAAACAATAACACAGACATACAAAACTTATAAATGTAATGTGGGTTTTAACTTATATAGAGGACAAGCGGAAAGGGAATTCAGAGTGGAAGTAGAAGCGTTTGGGCATGTGAGGCATAAGAACCTAGTTAGGCTGCTGGGATACTGCATTGAAGGAACGCACAGGTAATGCTATTGCATTTGATTGTTCCTTCACTTGCTAGCTTAGATTGCTGTATACTAAATAGTACATATTTTCAGGATATTAGTATATGAGTATGTGGACAATGGAAATCTAGAGCAGTGGCTTCACGGAGCTTTAAGCCAGTATGGATATCTCACTTGGGAAGCCCGAATCAAAATTCTCCTTGGTACTGCTAAGGCGTAAGTATATATATATGTTATAAGTATATAACCTTCATTTGATCATTTGGCTGTATCTTTTATCCATTGAACTTAAGATTTCAATCTTTAATGGTTTTTTCAGGCTGGCATATTTGCACGAGGCAATTGAACCAAAAATTGTGCATCGAGATATCAAGGCAAGCAACATATTGATTGATGATGAGTTTAATGCAAAGCTATCAGACTTTGGGCTAGCCAAATTACTCGGTGCTGGGAAGAGTCACATTACCACCAGAGTTATGGGAACGTTTGGGTGAGTAAACAAACAGTCACTCTTTAACTTCCTGCTACTTCCATATTTTTGTTTGGGGATAAAACATTCTGTTTTCTTTCTCGTCATAGATATGTGGCACCAGAATATGCCAAATCTGGGCTTCTAAACGAGAAAAGCGATGTTTATAGTTTTGGAGTGGTTCTTTTGGAAGCGATTACTGGAAGAGACCCTGTTGATTATGGCCGCCCAACACATGAGGTATTTATTGGCTCAGATAGCTTAGGCCATATTTGATAACCACTTTGTTTTTATTTCTGGTTTTTGAAATTCAAGTTTATAAACTGCCCTGCCCTACTGGTTTCTTTGTTTTTGTAATCAAAATTTACAAGTATTTTGCAAAATCCTCCATGTTTTGAAAACTAAAAAAAAAAAGAAAATAGTTTCTAAAATTTGGTTAAGAATTCAAATGTTTATTTAAGAAACTTGAAAATTATGGCAAAGAACTTGAGATAAAACAAACTCAATTTTCAAAAAACAATTGGTTATCAAATGGGACTGTAGTTTCACATCTTTGGATTAGTTCCCAAACAAAATCTAGAATTTGGAATTTGGGTGCAGGTAAATTTGGTAGATTGGCTAAAGATGATGGTAGGAAGCAAACGATCAGAAGAGGTGGTAGACCCAAATATAGAGAGAAAGCCATCAGTTAGTGAACTAAAGCGAGCTCTTTTAACTGCTTTGAGGTGTGTGGATCCAGATGCTGATAAGAGGCCTAAGATGAGCCAAGTTGCCCGCATGCTCAACTCCGAGGAAAATCCAATTCCTCGACAGGTCGCTTTCATTCTCAAAACATTAATTCTTTACCAGCATTAGTTAACCTCAACTCACTCGCATTTCATCACAACTTACAGGATCGGAGACCCAGAAAGGGCCATGCTACTGCGACCAAAATGGAGTCTGGGAAACAGGAGAGAGGACCCAGAAGACACAAATAAGATCACAGACAATGAGACTTTCAAGTGTGAAAGAATGAATAGATGCAAAAAATAGAAGCTTGTAAGTTTCAAACTTCCAAATTCTCTGTTGGGATTGGTCAATCAAGTAGAGCTAGCAGGGAAGAGAAATGATTTGGAGGTGTTCCCAATCATTGTGTTAATGTACAGTTCCACAATTGCATTGATGGCTATGAAACAGGTCCAAAGTTTTTATAACTTTTTTTTTTCTTTTTCTTTTTCTGTTGGGGTGGCATTATCTCCTCATGTTGTCATTCGTGTATTGAATGGCTAATGTTCATGAGGATCGATACTAAATTTTCAGAGGTAGTGTATTCTAAGTTAGATCTCATTTCTAATCTTTACATTTGAGCTCTTTAATGTTTTCTTTGATACACTTCTTTTTTGTAATATAACGATTTGAGCTTTGAATTCTTTTAGTATAACGATTAAGCCTTAATGATTTAGTATCTTGTAACGATTAAATCCCAATGCTAGAACTTAGATGGTGCATCAATGTCAAATAATCAATATCAAGCCCACTTAGGATTCAATCTACGATTTGTTTTTCTCGTTTTAATATTCAGGACTAGACACAAACAGAAAATAAATAGAATGACACAAATTTAAAAGAGAAATGATATAACAAATAAAATCAATATTGCTTTAACCTCATTTTCTCTAACCTGGCCTCCTTGAAGAAGTTACGATGGCGTAGTATGAAGAGCGGAGCATCTCTCTCTCTTGTTCCTCCAGTGGCGCGAATCCGCAACCCCTACCCCTCGATTCGCTTACCAGACAGAATCGAACAGAACAGAAGGATTATTCACTTGCAAGCATAAACTTATCCTAGAGAGCAACAAGGAAGAAATTGAGTTATTGGCAGTAGTACAGCACTCGACGATGTTGAGGAACGCTCAATTCAACTCAACATTCGGAAAGGAGAGATCCAACTGAGAGCTTGAACCGCCATAGTCAGCCGGAAATCTACTCGTTTCCAGTTTGATTGGTTAAAAATATATTTATACTTTTTAAAAAAATTTAAACAATACCCTCAAATTTTTTAAATATTTTAAAAATACCCCACAATTAATTTTAAATTTTAAAAAATATATTNTTTTTAAAATTACAAAACTACCTTTTAAACTTTTTTTTTTTTTTTTTTTTTTTTTTTTTTTTAGTATTATTGAAAAATTTATACCATTTTTCTCCATAAAAATTGAGCAATATCGAGAACAAGCATTTAGGAAATCTAGCTCCGGTTCGGTTACCATCCTATTAAGGACAAGTTTTCTTATCTCCACGGTCGAGTTTTCTCAATTTCAAAACCGTGAAAAGAACGAAGTGAACTCCAAAACCTATCCGGGTCAGTTTGATATTCAAAAATTAAGTGAAAAATGTCGAATAAACCATAACAGTTTCAGAAATACGTCAGAGTAGAAATTTAAATCCTCAACTTCTGAAACGATGATATACGTCAATTGCATCTATAGCAATAGACATAAGGTCTTACTTAAGTTCACGTGGTTATTATTATTATTATTATTATTATTATTTATTTATTTATTTATTTATTTATTTTTGGTAAAATTACAAATATAATAAACACCCATTTATTGAAAAATTAGAAAAAAATTTATTTTTTAGTCCCTCTACTTTTGTTCTTTTAAGGAAGTAGTCCCTGGGCAAAAAATTTATTATATATATATATATAAAAAAAAAAAAAAAAAAGGATTAATCCATAATTGAAATCCTACTCGAACTCATCCACTTCACTGCTCGAAGCTCTGCGGAGGGAACTCCATCATCCATGGCTGCCTTCTCCTTCTCCTTCTCCTCTTCGCTCCTTCCTTCATCAGTTTCTTTCGATCATGGCTCCTCGTCCTTCTTCCCCATCCTTCTTTCATCTTCTTTCGACTCCAATTCTCGCGTTGTTCGCTGTACATTTGCAGCCCCCGCTAGAAAATCGCCTCCTCCTTCTTCTTCTTCTTCTTCTTCTTCTTCCTCCCCCGATAAAAAGAGGCACTGGAAGCAAGGGGAATTTCCAGGTATTATAGAGACATCCGCCCCCAGGATGACCCCCGCTAGAAAATCACCTCCTCCTTTTTCTTCCTCGCCGGTTAAGAAGAAGCATTGGAAACAAGGGGAATTTCCAGGCGTTACAGAGACATTCGACGCCAGGAAGACCCCTCTCAAGAATGTCAAGAAGAAATTAGATCGCAAAATGAACGCCAAGGCTTGGGCTAATACCGTTACTGAAGCCTTGTCGGAACATATCACGAACAAACGGTGGATTCAAGCTCTTGAGGTCGCTTCCTCTTCCTTTGATTTCACTTTTTGTTTTGGCGTTTTTTGTTCAATTTGTTCTGTGATCCCTCTTTTTGTTACATTTGTTCATTGTTTTGATTGATTTGAGTTTTAATCGATGAGGAATTGCATAATTGTAATGTGCTTTGGAATTAGCTTTTTGTACATTTACGAACAAGGAGAAGAATGCAGAGATTCATTACTTGCTCTTCAAAGTTGAATTGGAAGCATGAAAATCCGTCTTCTCTTGCCTTAATTTGAAGGAATGAAATGATAGTTTGAAGAGCCTGCATAAACTTCTTGGGCTATTGTTTTCATCTTTAACAACTATGGCTGCTTCAATTCAACCGTTCAGGTGTTTGAAATGCTCCGCAAACAGCCATTTTATGAACCAAAAGAAGGAACTTACATGAAGCTGCTTGTTCTACTTGGAAGATCTGGCCAACCACAGCGTGCCCGTCTGCTTTTTGACACAATGGTTGAAGAAAAATGTGAACCCACCACTGAACTTTACACTGCTTTGCTTGCTGCTTATTGTCGTAACAATCTCATTGATGATGCATTTTCCATTCTTAATCTCATGAAAACCCTCCCTTGCTGCCAGCCTGATATCTACACGTATAGTATATTAATCAAGGCTTGTGTCGATTCTTCTCGCTTTGAATTAGTTGAATCTTTGTATGAGGAAATGGCCGAACGACTGATAACTCCGAACACGGTTACTCAGAATATAGTCTTAAGTGGGTATGGCAAGATAGGGAAGTATGACCAGATGGAGAAAGTTCTTTTAGGAATGCTTGAGAGCACAACTTGTAGACCAGATGTGTGGACAATGAACATAATTCTTAGTGTGTTTGGTAACAAGGGTCAGATTGAAATGATGGAAAGATGGTACGAGAAGTTTCGTAACTTCGGTATCGAGCCAGAAACGCGTACATTCAATATTTTGATTGGTGCTTATGGGAAGAAAAGGATGTATGATAAAATGTCTTCTGTGATGGAGTATATGCGCAAACTGCAGTTTCCTTGGACGACCTCGACATACAACAATGTTATTGAAGCTTTTGCAGATGTGGGAGATGCAAAGAATATGGAGTACACCTTCACGCAGATGCGTGCTGAGGGCATGAAAGCAGACACCAAGACATTCTGTTGCCTTATAAATGGATATTCCAATGCAGGTCTCTTCCATAAGGTGATTAGCTCAGTTAAGTTGGCAGGAAAGTGTGAAATTCCAGAGAATACCTCATTTTATAATGCTGTTATATCTGCTTGTGCAAAGGCTGAGGATCTGATGGAAATGGATAGAGTGTTTAAGCGAATGAAAGATAAACATTGTCAGCCAGATAGCAAAACATATTCTATCATGATAGAAGCATATGAAAAGGAGGCCATGAATGACAGAGTTCATTACTTGAAACTGGAAAGGAAGCAGGTGATCGATCACGCTCCTACTAACGAGTGACTCGGAAATGGAATAGAGTGAAAAATTGGTGCACGTTTGAGAAGTTGGGCGCTACACTATGCCCTTTCCACCAAGGGCTCTAGCTACATTGGATACTTCTGAGAAAATCAAATCCGCGCTTCCAGCCCTTCCAGTCGCTTCCTCTGTGCCAAGTGTTTCACCATAGCGTTTTGATCATTTGAAACGATATGAAACCAAGCCTCTCAATCATGCAATATTAATGCCACGTTAAGAAGAATCAAGTTTCATTTATGCAACAAAGGTTAAGGGTTGGAATGTCTCATGGAAGGTTAAGGATTTTCATTTTGAGGCTATATAAAGTCATGTATGTTATTTTTGTAAGGGAGACTTGGAAAATGTAGTAAATAGAGCATTTGTGGTTTCCTTTAGCCAACGGCTAAGTTTTTTTGCAATTCTGTGTAGTTTTGGTTGCATGTAAAATCATTCAAGCTTGACATGATCAATCTTGCACATGGAGTGATTCGAATCTCAAACAAGTGTTCTTGTCTAGAGATATTTGATCAACAAGGTAATCTGAATTTTACTTTCCCTTGTAGCGATTCTTTATTATTAGGGCCAAGTGTCCTTACCTTTCTTTTGCAATTTTATGTATAGATTAGATTGCACGTTTAGAATCATTTACGCTAGATATAATCGATCTTGCTTGTGGAATGATTTGAATCTCAAAGCAGTGTTTTTGTCTTGAGATATTCGATCAACAAGGTAATTCAAATCTTACTTTCCTTGGGATGATTCCTTATCATTTGATATCAAGAGTTTTTTTCTTAGGTTGATTCTTTATCATCCTTCGTGAAAATATTATTTTATGTGGGAAGATTGCAGCTAACTGGTTTTTATGTTTAGAGCTCGTGTCACAATGAAGTTGGTCGGTATTTTGTAGTTATAATAGTTTTAGGCAAACTTGCTCGTTGTTCGGGACAAAATGGCGAACAGCGAAAAAAGGTATGAGATTTCAAGTCTTGACACAGTGACTGCGTGCCCATGTGGGTTATACATTAAATGCATGATTTTCTAGGTAGCAACAATTTACATTGCCTCCTTGGCTAACAATGAAAATGGCTTTATCTTGGCAGTGTAATGAGGTGGTGGGACATCGGAAACATATCTTGGGATCTCTGCTTATGGTATGAGCTTGCTTTTCTTTGAGTATCTTTTGAAGTGCATGCATTTTAATACACAAATTGTCAAAACTATTATGTGCAGTACTAGTCTCGTGTTGACAAAATGCTAATTTTTTATCATTCAGTATGGAACAGGAAACACGTTATGAAGTATATATAAATTCTTGGTCGATTACAAAAAGATATATCCTAGAACTTTGCTTTCATTTACTTCTATTCTTTTAAAAGTTGGAATATTGCATTTGGCCTTTCGTAAACGTTTCTAAAGTACCATTGAAGCATATATCTCTTGGCAAAAAATTGAGACCTAGAATGGTGTGGCTGTAGTTTGGAATAGAAATTGGGGCTAGTACACTGCCACCGTTGCAAGTCGCTGACACACTTATTCTAGTTCCCATTTTTCATCTAACATTTGAGCGGAGTTTTTATTTTTATGGTACTTTTGAAATCTTTATGAAAAGGGTAAGAGTATGTGTATGATTACAACTTATGAAAGGATGAGTAATTTTAAAACAAATGGTAAAATTCAGGAGTTTTTTTTTTTTTTTTTTTTTTTTTTTTTTTTTTTTTTTTTTTTTTTTTTTTTTTTTTTT